TTCTGACTGCAGTTCAATTACTCACTACCTACACACATTATCACGTCACGCCGTGGCCATCTTATATATACCAGCCCACCCCCAATCTAGCAAATGCCAGAGCACTCCCGAAGGAACGGGATAGTTCTAGAAAACGGGTGGGGTGATACTAGTCACGTGATCTCGCTGACGCAACAGTACTATCAGTCAACGTATCGAAGGCTGTATGGTTGTTAGCTGCTTTCCTCTCCTCATTCAAAAATATGGATAGGCGATACTGAGAAGTCTGTATTATGTTATTGTAGCAAAAAAGTATTACCATACCATTTATTCATAAATTTGCGTTATTCGTTCTAACATTATCCATTGAAAAAAAAAAAATGGTCATGAAAAATGCCATTTTCAAAAGTAGTCGTAGCGAAAGCGCTGCTATATTTATAAATATGTAGCGACAACAGTATTGAGTAACGCTTCTGTGTTTTTCTTGATGTAGCAATAGTGGCGCTCGTTGAAGAGGTAGCACACACAACCATACGTATTAATAATTTTAATAGGCCACTGTTATCAAAACCGTTATAGAAATTAAGATTCGACACATTATGTTATCATTCAGAATAAACGGAATGTAGCTTATCTTTAACAATCTTCAAAAATTGATTACAGACTGGTTTTCAGATTCATTGTAAACATAGTGAAGAAGTTGTTTGTTGAATTATACACAAAGCTACTCAAGGGCTATCCGTGTTTGGCGTTCCTAATTATGAAGCGATAGACCAGTAGAAAGACAGCTACTTAACACACTTAATTAGATGTTAAAACATATATATATATATACACTCTGTGGACTGAATAAATGTTAATGATAAAACCAAAATTTAGTTATTTTCACTAAACCAGATAATTTCATTAATATGTTACTAAATCTTACTTTTTATCCTGTTTTAAGACTGATTATTAAAAGTTTCATTAGAAATCTAGTTGGTAAATGATTAAAAGATTCCATAAAAACTTGTAAGTTTTATGACTAAACATCTTTATTTGTCAAAGAAACTGATTCTTTTCAAATGCAGTCTTCTCCATTTTTCATTATCTTAATATACAAAACTTTCTAATTACACTGATGTCTCTCACTCTATAAATGTATTTATATAAAGATATGTGAACTATTCAAATCAAGTATTAAGTTGTTTTATTGTAGATTAAATGACAGATAAAGCTCCAAAAACCTTAATTCATATTGTAAGTGGCAAAAAGTACTGTTGGAGTAAGTTGAATTGATTGTAAGTATTTTCATACTAGTTTAAAAGTTTTTCAAACATGTGAAGTTTAAAGTAAATCACCAACTGAATTGAGAAAAATACAAAAAATGTATACTGAGTAATATTTCTATAATTACAATGGTATTTTTCCATGTTTAATTATTATTTAATAATAATAAACAATTCCTCCTTATGATCTGATATAAATGTACTTTTATTTCCAATATACTGACATTACAGTAATACAGACTGATTTTTGGGTCACTGTTTCTACAAGACATTAACTTTAATGACCAGGACTGACTAACTATTTTTATTATAACATATTGTGACCAGGAAGAGAAGTAGATGTTGCCAAGAAAAAGGAATTAAACTGTTCTCATGTTTAACAGGATACTTCAACAGTACAATCCAACCTTATTGTTACTATTCTTTAAGAGCAACTTTCCACTTCTAAAATCCAGAAGGGAGTAGAAGCTTTTATGTCAATGCCAAAGGACTGTTTAGACTCCCATTTAAAGAGAAACTCCTGAGGCACAGACATTTGGAAAACCTTGGACATCTTCCAAGTATCTAATCACTTGTTTCCTTTACTTACCAACAGTTCATGTAACAATTCAGTTATAATAAGTGCTAAAAATGTGAATGCAGCAAGGTCTAGTAGTGGAAGGACTGGCTTAACCTTTTAGTCAAACCATACATACTCTCTTAATACATTTCTTTTATTTCATAATTTAACATATCAGAATCACATTTTAATATGATTAGTTATAAAGAAAACAACAAAACAGATTTGTTTTAAAAATTAGTTCACAATCAGTGATATTTGTACCACTTGTTACACATTTGCTCTGATATAGATGAAACAAAAAGGTTTATATAAACAAAAGTTTATGATACAATTTCCAATAGACCACAAATGATGATTATCAAACATTATACTGAGAAAATTATATATATACACACACACACACACACATACATTATGCAGTCAATATAATATTTGTTTCCAGAGGTCACCTAGTACTGCTACCCACCTTTTGGTAGTCAGTCATAATGTATAGCTAATAATTTAACTAGACATTGCTGCTCACAGATACCACAGTAATTAATCATTGTATTGGAAGTAATAAAATATTAGTTATTAAAACACTTTGAATGCATATCACACATTGTACTGACTGAAACTATAAACCTTTCTTCCTTCATATAATCTGTTGAAACATGATCATCAGTTAACAAATCTCAAGTTAGCTTATCTAAAGTATCAATATAAAACAATCTTTCTCTCAAAAAACATTCATAAAAAGTACTGAAGAATGAAATTATGCAAAGCATTAATTTTTGAACCTTCAGAGAATCAGACATAATATGTGCATGAATGAGCAATGAATTGAAAATTTCTTATGAGAAAGAGATCATAAAAAGAAAAGTAAAGGAACATAAATACAATGCTTTCTTTCTCTTGGGAAAAATATCCAAGATTAAAAGTTGTGCATTTTTTCTAATACAGTGCAAGCTACTTGATTAAAAATGGAAGTTAGGGCTGAACTAATTTGTTGATGGCCTTTTGCTGTACTTTCTTGTAGACATGTATAACTTGTATAACCAATGTTATACACCAAGAGTTTTGAAGAGAAACCTCCTTGGAAAGAAGAAAGTTGAATCCTCATGGATCGGAATTTTATGGTTATATCACATAGCTGGTTGACTGATGGAAGATGTAATCTGCTGACTGTTTATTTCAAACTTAGAATAATGAGATGAACTAACCAGATAACAAAATTCATAAACAACACAGAGGATATACCAATTAACATATCCAGCAAGAAGTGTTTGTGAAGTAAAGTTTTATTAAAAAGCATAAAAACCATAAGATGAACATTTAAATAGTCACCTCCATTATTTCTTTAAGTTAAAAGTTTTAGCCACTGAAGTGGTGAACTCATATTTAATAAAACGTAAGAGCCATAAATCCAGAAAAGCTTATTTTATTATGCTCAGAGTTTCAACTTTTTAACTTTTCTAGGAGCAGTTACATTTGTATATCTGAATATGTTTACTGCTCCTTAAGAAGGCTAGAAGCTAAAGTAATGAGCATATAATAGGTTTTCTAAAAAGGAGTTATATTTTTATTAAACAATCAATTAATTTGCTAGCATTCACACCAATCATATGATTGATTTTAATTAACAATTTACAGAATAAACAATCAGGTACCTAAATTATTTAATTTACAAACCAACCTATCAGTGAGACTACTCAGCTGAAAATATAACAGATCAAACAATCAGGTCAGCTCACAAGTAATCATCATATTAAACATTATGAATACGAAGTTGTTAAAAAACAAAATGAAGTAATAACAAACCTTTGTGTTTTCAGAATATCGCCAAAATGTTTCAACTTGTAAGTAGCAACTGATATAAACTTAGCACAGAAATTAAACTAGCACAGCCCTAAAATCCATTTATATCAATCCAAAGAAAAAAATTTGATCAAAGAGCATAATGATAAATGAAGATTATGCTGTACTTGGTGAAAAATTGGAAGAATTTTTTTATAGTCAACATCAGCCAGAGATCATCATGATCATGCTGGAATGTTGGCTTTGAAGTATTCACTCATAACTGTTTGGAACACTGATAATTGCTCTCTCTTTACATGGTTGGGCAGGTAACAAAAACAACAACAAAAAAACAAGTATTTTCAAAGCATGTTTTCACTTCAGGCATTACAGGTTATTTTTCTATTGCATAATATACATATTTTACTGAACAAAGAAGTAGATTTTCTTGTTTTATACACTTGTTCAACTATAGAGTGTTACCAATTAATGTAGTGAATTTGTTAATTCAAAATAAAAACTTTTAATTAAAATTTCTTTAGAGCTAATGATAGAACAAATAATGTATATTATCATATTAAAAGAAATATTTTTAGAAAGTTTACATGGCACTGATGAAGATATACCAACAATTCCAAGAACATGGTACACTGTACATTTAAGGCCTATGAAAACAGTACATAATGCACTTTTACTTCGTCCATTTTTCAGGATAAAGTTTTGTAACATGATGAGCCCAGAAAAGATGTTTTACAGTAAAAGAAAACAAAAGTTTGAAGATAGCAAGGGCAAAGTTTGATTCTATTATATATATATAAGACATAGAAATGAGTCAACACAAACAATTTTAGAACAGTATTGTCAATCTAGAGTGTGAATGGTTCACACAAAATAAATTTTCTCCAGTGGTTAAGATTGTATATTGCTTACATATACAGAATCATAACTTGTGTAAGGTAAGCACATCTAGTGCTCATTGAAAATCACTTTTAACTTTATAAACAATATAGTTCAAAAATTAATGTAAACATGTTGACCTTAAATCTCCAGAAGTTTAGCAGTATGATAAAAAGAGTTAGTACGAAAAAAGCCACTAGTGTCTTCATGCTAAAATGACTTATCACATTAACTCTGCCTCATGATAGATCTGACAAATATACATGTATACACCAATCTATACACTATTGAATAGGTTTTAATCATTATACTTGGGTACTTATACTATTGCATAATAGCCTGTTCTAACTATGAGGAATTGGTTTATACTCCAACTGTCTTTGCATGAAGAGTTTATACTTTTACAAAACCAACACCATTAACAATAGTAGACAAGAAACACTACAACCACTGATATGATTGTAACAGTAACGTTATGTGACATAAAAAAAACAACATTATTAAAAATATCCTCTCGATTTTTTTTTCAAAATCCATTCTCTCTATCTCTCTCTAAGGTTTGACCTTTCAAAAAAAAAGCTCCATAAGTTTTCATAACACATTTGACTTGACCTTTAGACATCCCTAAATACACACACATCATCAATAAGACCAATAATTCAACAGACTTGCAGAACCTGGAACTCATGTACAACTTTTTGTTATAGAGTTTTCAAAGAAACATTAACAATGGATTTAACCAAACACAAAAGACATTTGCTTAGAATACTTTTTTCAACAATTTGCATAGCCTAAAATTACTGATCAGTTTCTGTTTTATGAAATAAAATATATTTATTCTTACTGATTACAATGGAATAGATTTAAATATAAATAATGAGTAACTAGTATGGTAGTATTTTATACACATGATTTCATTGCTTTAACCATCCAAAAAACTACACAAAAAATAATATACAAAAGTTTCCAGATATGCATCTAAAACACATTCTTATTTCTGTGTTGGTACTCTTCCATTGACTAGATCGCTCAAGTTAGTTTGAAATGTTATTGTGATTTATTGATGCCATGCAGATAAAACTGGCACTTCAGATAACCCAATCTTAACATACATGTAATGTTACCTAATGTGCATTCATCTTACATTAAAGTCCCTACATTGCTTGTGACTTTCCACTTTTTTGAAACATTCAGTGATGCCTTTGGTGCCTTATGGACACAAATTATCACAAGCTACTAAGTCTGTCCAATGTTTACACATTTATCTTACGACAACAGGGGGGGAGGGGGTCTGAAAGGACAATATGGCCAAATGTCTTGTCTTTATGGAAGAGCTCTCTTTCTATTCTCTCTCTGTTGATAGGCACACGATTTACCTCACCTAGTATCTGATATTGTCTTCAAATATTCCCTACAAAAAATTAAAAGATAATTCTTAGCTTGAAATAAAAATAATGATTTAGATTTATTATATGGAAATTTTTTCAACAAGTAACCAAGACTGAAATGAAATAGCAACAACAACATTTTCTTTGTGATTCTACCTAGATTAAGAATTTGATACAATGCATCTTTGAAGACTTTTAAAGTTTTTTATACCACATATTGACATTAAGTTTGAACTACCGCTGACCAGAATATTCTAACTGAACAGGGCACTGTTTTGTCATACACAACAAGGTTTATAATGTACATACCTACCTTTATAATCTTTGCAAATTCTTTTTTAAAACCTTGGCATACCAGTGGGATGTCCAGAAACTGTAGAGTGAACAAATACAAACACCTTTATTGAACATCTGTATAATCATTTTAAAAGCCGTATTTTGATGGTTTCTTTTACAAAATTTTCCAGTTCTTCATTGTTCACAGCTATTTTATAGATAAAGCTATGTTTTGAGAAGAAACAATCCTAGTAAAAAAATGTTTATTTATTTAAAAGCTAGACATTAGAGCTTTGAGATTAAGTATTTTTAATAAAGCTTTCATCAAACTGCAGTTTATAGCATATTTGTCAAAAATAATTATATCTTAAAATGTGTACACATTTCCAGTATGAATTATAAGTCATATTTAAGTAAGTCTTTCAACCACAGCTTTAGAATAACATCATTTATGTTTTTAAATGATATAGATCTTGTTGTATCTCCATTATAACCCTGCTGATAGGTACAAGTCCCAGTGATACTGCATTATTCCTCTTATCCTTCTGCCACCAATAATGGAAAACTCAATTTGTTTGTCTACCTGTACTTTAGGCATATATTTTGGGTGATAATGTCCACCTTCTGAAAGTTGGATTTTGTAATATGCTGGTAAACTGTGTTTATGTATATGAAATGATCTATCATGGCCCAACATATTATAATTCATAATTATTTGTATTTTCACAGAATAGAAATATGAAAACAGGATTTAAAAGTTTTTCTTTAAATAAAAAATAATTCTATGTTAATACACATATTTCCCATATGTGTTTTTATAATTATAGTAACAAAGGTAAAGATTAGAAAATACTTAAAATTTACTAACATAGATGAGTTTTTAAGTTAAAGTATGAACAGTTAAAATTTGTAACTGTTATTACTAAAGTTAGGAATACATATGAAAATGCAAGTTACTGTCAGCTTATGTAAAGAGATGTGACAAATTTAACAGTTGCTAATAGAGATAAAAAATACATATTTCGCATCAGCTCTTTTTTTCTATTATGGTGTAGAGCTTTTGGAAGTTTGGCAAATAGCAACAGACTTGTGGCGGCATTATTAGGGATTGTCTTCTTCTTCAGAGAATGGTAGCAACATTCACATGGTTCTCCTCTTAATGAAAGTTTTCCCTGATAAAACTAAGAACTAATGCTACCAAGAAGGAGACTAAATGTTACTAAATTACCTCCCAGTCAGAACAGTAAGTCAGGGATAGTGAATAAATTACATGAACACTGATAACGCTAGATTAATACAGATCAAAGAAAAAGCTTTAGGATTGGAGCAAAGTTTGTCATAGTATGAAAAATGACACCTGAATACAATTTAAAAAATCAATATCTCATTAACTACATATATCAGGTACTTTGCCCTGAGAAGCCAAGAATGTTTTGACATATTGAATGTGTTTCTCAGCCAAGAACTATAGTACCCAATTTTGACTTCAGATATAATCATTTGACATGGTTTCCACTCACTGAGAGGAATAAAATTCCAGGTCATAATTCCCTTTGTCTAGGTTTCAGGACAATAAATTTCTCAGTCCTTAATAGTATCTGGGGTAAATTTTACTGTGCATTTATGTAAATCTGATAGCAATTGATTACTTTTAATATTTATTTTTAGCAATTATCTGTACCTAATATTTAATTAATTATCAGGAATAACAATGAGACAATAACAATACCATTTATGATAAAAGAAACGACTTCAAATTCCATGTATATGGTCTTCCCTCTGTTAATATAATCCCCAATACATTGACTGAAGGTGTGATATGCAGACATATTATATGCTTCTACCTGCTTTAGTGATACAGATTTAAATTTGTTGGAATATTTAGCCTCTATGCTGCAATAATGAAAATATGTGTTGTAACAGTGGCAATATGTGGTCCAGAAATCTGTTAAGGTTACCTCATTCTAATTGCTTTGTTTCTTTGTTCTCTATAGTAGGTGATGTCACGTCTGCCTGAGAAGCTATTGCAGTAATATATAGCATTCAGGTTAAAATATTGACATTGTAATATCCTTTGTTGACCAGTTATTCTATAAAGGAACAAAGACCATGAGGTGACACTGTTGACTAGTCAAAGAAAGTAACTTCACCTGTTGAATTAAGACATACTTTCTTTAGCCAGTTTCTATTAGAAGGTCGTTGAATGAAGACTTCTTTATAAAAAATATGATTTAGTTCTACATAGCCTAGTAGAAAGGACTGTCATTTTGTCTGTGTTGGTATGCACACTGTGTTTTCCATTTACCTGTTATTACAAAGATTTTATTTATTTATTCACATTTGTGCAAACTCATTATTTTAGACTTAAAGGAAACTTAGTCATGTTATCTATTACAGAACACTTCTCATTTCTTGATTTAATCTGCTGTTATTTGTGTGTGTGTTTGCCTATCTGATAACTGGTTTTTACCTGAATATACCACAAGAAGGTAAGGAGAAATTCTGATACTATGTCATCAGGATATACTGTGGACTTTCTGAAACAAAAACTTGCATACTAGTTCTTGCTTGAACTTTCAAGTTTAAAGACTTTTAAAGAATTCCTCTCACAGAAAGAAGGGCATTTTTTGGACACAGACACAGAAGTACTTGAGACCAAGAGAAATAAGTTACAAGTACAGAAAGAAAGTTGTATGGAAAAGATGTTGATTTTAGGTGAAGCCCCTTTCTGGACATATGATTTTTGCTGATAGTGCAAAGGAATGGAACTGCTGATTCAGGGGGATTTGCTCAAGTCTGGTGCACCCAGGCAACTCAACCAATGGGAGGACTAGCATTCACTGGTTTGTGCCTGGAGAGGTTGAGACTGCATGTGAAGATCTCTACCAAACTATCAGGTTGTCATCAGTCATAGCACAGTAGCCCTAGCTCTAGTTTGAACCACAGATAAATAGTGGAAACAAGCTCGGCATGCCTTTGTTGGATGATTTCTGCTAGAAAGAATTGTCTCCCCAGGAGATGAAGCAATAGGCACTCATGAATGAAGACCATGATCAATGGGGCAAAGTACCTTTAAGGATGGAAATATTCCCAGTCATGTTAACACAGGTTATGACATTTGGGGTTGTGCAGGACTTTATGATAGGCCACTGCATGTAGCACATCACCCTGGACTAGGGACAAGCCACATCTTTGAGGCATTGGACTCTCTGTGAATGACTTCCACCTAGAACTAAGGATATTAGCAGCATCTCATCCTCCCATCCATCAGGATTATGAAAGGAAGATGTTTTGGCCTGTCACACAGAGCATTGTGAATGAGACGAAGCATACCATGCTCCCAATATATAAGGGGACAGAAGGAGGAAGACTTTGGATCAGTTCCTGAAATGTTTGAGATAGGTTACTGCCTCAAATGGATGGATTCAGGAGAAGGCTGTGCACTGCTTGGTCCTGAGCTTAGACAATTCAACCCTCAATGCTCTCAAATTCCTGAATAAAGAACAGTAAAATGACTGGGAAACCATTTTGTATATTCTCTTTTCCTTATTTGAAACAGTGGAAAGTTGGCAATCCAATGGGCCAAGTTCAAGGCTTAAAGTATTATTGAAACTGAGGGACTGACCACCTATGTAGATGACCTGTGCTGACTGGACAAGAAGAAATACCCAGCAATTGGCTTCTGCTGATTAAAAAGAAATCCTGATCAATGAAATCATTGAAAAGCCTCCAATGAGCTTATGTGACAGCACCTGGGAATGAAAGGCATCATTACTTTCACAGAAGTTGTATTCATTGTAATATGCTTTGAAGTGGTCATTTCAAACTATCCATCAGAGAGGAAGAAGAATGCAGCAGCAATTTCACTTACAGGTTGTGCAATGCAGGTGCCTCCACCATGGCAGACTATATTATTTGGAGGGTGAACAACCAGCCATCTCTACATGACAGAAAGGTGAGGCAACCAGACTGATCTGGGTAGGGTTATGCATGTTCTCCTATATGGTAGATGCCACCATAAAGTACCCATGAAATACATACCACAACCACAGCTGATGATTCTGCATGGAAGAACAAAGCACCTGCTTTGCATATGGACTTGTGGTGCACTGATGAATGAACTTCCCAAATTTTACAGAACAGCAAAAACAAACAGCACAGCTATAAGTTCCAGCCAATAACTAAGTGGATTCTTGTCAACCCACAAAGTCAGCATATTAGCAATTGATGCATTTGGAGGAAAATGAAGTTTCAAAATAAAAAGGATAACAATACATATGATAAACAACCTTGGTTATTTATAACACAAAGGGACACGGATAAATGTTTCGGAATTCAACAGATTCCATCTTCAGTATCTAAAACAAAATAAAAGTTAAGTTCACTTGTGAGATTGAAAATAATAATAATTTACCTGTTTTTGTTGACATCCTCATTAACCATTACACAAGTGGATTTAGTACATCAATATACAGAAAAAATTATTTTTACTGGACTCCTAACACAATTTGACAGCTTTATCCTATTCGCATACAAAAGAAATCTGGTAACACGTTTATTAAACAGAGCTTATAACTTGTGTGCTATGTACTTTAATTTACACTTTGAAATTTTGCTGATACAAGATACTTTAAAATGTATTGGCTACCCACAACATATATTACAAAAAATTACAAATACTTTTCTAACTAAGAAATTCATTAATCTACCCAGACTACCAACTGCACCTAAATTTACTATATACTCTTGTCTTCCATGCATTGGTAAACAAAGCTTAACTTTAAAAAGTCAAATTCAATGTGCTATTCATCGTTACTACCCCAAAGTTGATTTCAGATTAGTTTTTAAACCTACATCCCACATACATGATTTTTTCCATACTAAAGACCTTCTCCCAATTTCTCTTGTTCTTGTCTTGTATATATTTACATGTCTGGAGACTGTAAGGCCTCCTACATTGGCAAAACCAAATACTATTTACGAGCTAGAGCTAATAAACATATGGGCATTTTCATGAAACACACAAAAAATTTGAGTAACCTCTGTGCTTCCTCTATATACCAAGATAGTGAAGAAACAGGACATGAACTTAACCTTTCAAATTTTAGTATTCTTTGCAAAGCCAACACTGATCTGGAATTACTGATTAAAGAAACCCTCAACATCAAACAACTTTCACCAACACTGAACAACATGCAGTCATCATTTAAATTGTGCATTTTTCTAATATGTACAGTATTTTGTTTGTTACTCATTTAATTTTTATGTTGTTGTAGTTTTGATTAAACTATTGTTATTATAGCTATGTATTTCAGTCACTTACTTGGGAATAATGTAATTCTTTTATTTTACTTCAGATACTGAAGATGGAATCTGTTGAATAATGAAACGTTTATTTGTGTCCCCTTATTTTATAAATAAACAATGTTGTTTATCTTAAGTATCTTTATCCTTTTTATTGTGAAACAATGGTTGCAAATTGCTGAGCAGTAAAGTTGGCAAAATTATTAAATCTAGTCACTGAATCAATAAGTCCAGGATGACAAGTGACAAATAGTAGATGTTCTAGAAAAGTTCAGCTTAACCACCAATTAAAGCACACTAGCCAGCTTGAAACCAAAGAGTTTAGTGGTCAGAACTGGGGTGGTGGAGCTTTTTATGGACCAATAAGTATGAAAGGACAAGAGGTTGAGTTCCTAGGTACCTAGTAGACCTCGCAACATTTCAAGCCCTCCAAGTGAGACCACTGCTATGACCTGTGAATACTGAATTGGTTCCAGCAAATGGCAATATAGTAGATGTTAGAGAAGAAAAAGATCTATGGCTTAGTCTAGGAGATGTCGTGACACCTACAGAACAAAAATGATCATTTCCAATGTTGGATATGTAATAGGCCTCCTTGGAATGGACATACTGTGAAATATATCAGAAAATTGTGCCTATGCAATGAGCTGATGTTCCAATAGAAAGTCATCCAATGCCACCCAGATCAAGCTCAAGAACAGTGGATTGCACTTGTGTGTGTAGTGAAAGGAATAATAGTACCCCCCCCCCCCATGTTCCCTAGTTTAAACTGGACAAGGTCCAATGCATCTGTGCTGTGTAACATGATTATAAAAGCCATACATGAAATAAACTTGCTTCTTGTCTAAAAAGCAGGCAGCATTAGCTCAAGCAGTAATCATCTGACAAAGGATGAAGTCCCAATGTTGCTTCAAAATTATGAACAATCAGCTATCCAGCTGGATGCTGCAATGGTCAAAGGTGCATTAAGCAAAGTGGGTATAGCTGATGCTAGCAGTAGTGCTAGGGTTGCATCTATCCAACTACAACTAGCTAAGACCAAATACAAATTTACAGACACACCTAACCTCAGCAAACAAAAACCTAATCACAAATTCCAGCCCTAATCCCTCAAATAAACATCAACCCTTTTCTTTAATCCTGTAAAGCTGCAGACACTACTATTTTGGAAGATTATTTATTTGAAATTGTCACAACTGGGGATGTGTTTGACCTTTCCAAGTCCTAGACTTATGATTTCTTGTCCTACTACTCTCAGAATTCAATCAAAAAAATCTGATGCACCATACAAAATCCTAATATTTTTTATAGAAAATCCTTTATTATATTTTAATGAGGGTACTATAAATGTGGGTGATAAGTTTAGGTGTCATTTTACTGCCTAAGTGATTTAAATATTAACAAGTCTTATAAACAATTTCACAGTTTCTCAGAGTAGAATTTTCCAGTCACAGTACTTAGCTGAGCAACATAAGAAAAGGATGTCAACAAAGTAGCACAAGTTATATGAATGTAATTACTTTGAAGTGATTGGAAAAATAAGTTATTGGATAACCACAGAATTCAGGTACCCAGTTATGCAAGGAGTATCAGTGTTTACACTATTATTTGTCCAATAAATCATCAAGCTTTGCTCTTTGAACAAAGTTTGTGGCTTAACTGATGATCCCAAAATAATTCATTTCACCACAGAGGTGATACAGATGTTAACACACATTTTAATGCAGCCGGATAAATTAATACAGTAGAATTAGACTAAGATGCAAAATTTGTAATTTATTGGATATAAAGTCAGGAGATGTATAAAATTTGTTGCAGTTAGTGGTAATGATAGGTGAAACTTGTAACTATTATTTTTACAGGTTTAATAGAAAAGAATCATTAATTAAGTCATAATTTTTCTAGGACACAAAAGTAGTCACAGATATAGAATAAATCTGATAGAGCTATTTAAGGGGACTAGAAAATTCACATAAAACATCTAAAAGTTAGAAATAAAAAGAGCTAGGTGTTTAACGTTTTGTAAATGTTGACAACAGCATCATCAAAAGCAAATGACATCTGCAAAACATGAAAAACCTGTTTTGAATTTTAACTTGTATATCACTTTTTGCACTTTTTACATGAATTTTTCAAGGAAGCTGGTTTTACAATTTTGTTAGAATATATTGCTTAGAATGATCTGTAAATGTTTTATGAGAGTCAGAACTAAAATCCAAGATTGTTCAATTTAAAGTAATTAGTAAATCAGACTAATGTTTTAGCATTCTGACATTGATAATATTGTTCTTTCTTTTAAATTATCTGGTAAAATAATTTAGTTTCCAGTCCATGTGACTATAACAAGTTAGTTTTATTTCCTCCTTTACAGGCTTGCACACTTTGTAACTCATTATAGGCCTACGTTTACAGTCATACTATCTGCATTACAGTAACATAAATATCAGCTTATTAGACATTTTGTAAAGCCTCTTGTTAATTAATATTCTAAATTTTCTAAGACTAACTTATTTGAGATTGAGGTCATTACAGAGAAGAAGAAGATTCTAATTCTAGGACTAGCTTGTTCTTAACATGATGTGCTCTCTAGCTAACATCTAAATTACAATATTTAAAAAAATATATATAATTTGTAACAATATGTAGTAAGTGTTGAATTCCTAGGTGGATACAACAAAAATAAAAGCAAAACATCTACTGATTTAATTTTTATTTTTTTAGTCTGGCATGCTTTTCCTGCCCAACTTATTTAACATGCAAAGCCAAGTAAAGCATAACTTATCTAATCAAGTAGTAAAGAGAAAGCAGCAACTTTGAGCAATTTTTCAATATTATACATATATACAATCAATATTCTTTCCACAAGAATTATAGATGACTGATCATATGCATGTATTCATTGTTTAACTTTAATAAATAGTAAAAAACATAGCTTAATTAGCTCAATCATGATATAGAAATGTTGACTTATTTATACTAATAATACCTATACAGCTTCAGTCCTAATAACATAATCACTCTTGAATCAATTCATATGTTAGCATAAGAATAGCAAACTATTAGCCACCATGATTCTCCATGCAATAATAAAAGAAGAGGACTAGGTGCAAATTTCTATATGAAAAACAACAATAAAACTCCTAATGGCTAAAGCTTTGTTATTACTTTTGTTAGAAAGCTAACCCGTTGGCTGTGTTTTAGAATACTAATATTACTTACAATTTATCAAAAATAAACATTGACTAGAGGCAAGTGTAATTCACCCTAAGTAAATATTTTACTATTATCACTTTCCAAAATCAACATTGTCAGATAATATGAAAACCTATGTTACACTAAGGGTGACACCTTTCTTTGGAGAATGTCACATACTCATATTAACTGCAGATAATATTAACATAACATAATGTTTAGGGACAAAAATGAATTTATTGGTCCATCTCAACTGTCCCATCCTCTAAATTAAAGCAAAATTACTAAATATATAAATTAAAAAATAATCTTAAAACCAGACCTTATCATTCACATAATTATCAAGCTTTTTCTTAAACACCCAAGACCTTAATAACATCAGTAAATTTAAGTAATTTATTGACCATTCTTTCATCTATGTCATTGATGTAAATCGAAAAGAATAAAGGTCCTAAGACTGTGTTCTGAGGTACCCCACTTGTGACATTAATTCAGTTTGACTGAATTCCATTTATAACAACCCTCTGCTTTCCTCCATCTAATTAGCTAGGTTATCCCCCACATCTATAAAGATTTTTTTTTTACAAGCCTTTTATGTGGCACCTTGTTACAGGCTTTTTGAAAATCCAGATACACCAAATCTACACCCTTACCTTCATCTACATAAGCAGCAACCTTTTCAAAGGATGTCAAAAGATTCAAAAGTGGCTCTCCATAGAAACCAACTAAAAGCTCAGTACATAACATTATAAATACCCATACATAAAGAATAAAGTAAGAGTTCATATCATAATATAACTTTCAGAAAAGGGATACAAAATGGATATTTGGAACGATTTAGACAATACAGTAGCAAAAATAAGTTTTTGAAAGCATTCTAATACTTACATGTTACAGGCACAAATGGCTGCTGAACCTGCATGGCCATAGCCTGTTGATAGGCCACAGCAGCACTCGGATGAAACACTGGAACTCCACTTTTGTCCACAGCTGGACGTTTTGAAAATGGGACCATCCCTGGGAAAGCCTAAGAGGGAAGGAATATGTTTTTGAAGTGTTAAAGTTCTGTTATGTTCTCGTGACATCTACAGTATGAGTGTATATTCATAATGTATAATTTTGTTTCAAAACTTTGACAGAACTTACAAATAGCATTTTAATATTACTCCTTCATTTACATACAGCTTGGATTTTAGTAATGGAAGACAGTTTTATTAGTTCACTTATAAAGATGAGTGACATGTACAAAAATAATTGTTTCATTGAATAACAAAAAATTTACTCTCCAACACAAGCAATAAAGCACTGCTCTAACATTGGTAAAAATGTTTGAATATGAAAAACAAAAGATAAATATAGAAGATTTGCAAGACGATCTTAATTCACTACATTTTTACACTTTCTTGTAATCATATAAATCTTAGATGTATAGCAGTCATCAGTCTATCTACTATTTAGAAACTCTTTTCTGCACTAGCTTTGGTTATCATGGAACATAAATGTTTAATCAATCTGTACTCACATAAAGTTCTTTAGATATGTATTCTGTTTATATAACTCCATTGATTATGCACAAACATTATAAATTCCAAACACCTATTTGATGTAAAGAATTTAACTGATTATATACATATATATATGTTGCTGACTAACATGTTGTGTAAATAACTGACCAGTTATACTTAAACATAGTTGAATATGACATCATATTGTTAGCCATTAATTTAGTGTGTGTAAAAATTTGACTAACTATGAACAATATAATTATTGCTCATCACACTGAAATATAATTGATTAATTGTATATGAACATGATAAATAAAGTTTATTAAGCTCATGAGTGAATTTGAAGTAACTGTATGTTAGATAAAAATTATTCATCTTGAAAATGCTATTTAAAGAACCATCTGATTTTCACTTATAATAATTTCTTCTATCTACAGAAAAAATCTCAAAAACAACAGAACACAAGAGGGTGCACCTTGTGGTCAAAGTCCTATGTCTTGGTGTATACTAATCCTCCTAATAAATTTATAACTTCAAAGAAAAAAAAAGGTGATAAGTTGTGAGTTCAATAGAAAAAATGTGTCCAAAGATACATAGACATGCATAACCTTGGAATAAGTGTGTTAGTGTGTAAAAACCTTGAAAGAAGACTCCCAGTGTGTCATGATATAAAAGATTGTTTGGTTGAAATATTATTATTAGTGATTAATTTATATTTGTGAGTGAATATTTTTTATTATCTTAAAGTTTTGGTATAATAAGAGTTAAAACCAGATGATTGTAGAAGGTTTTGTTAATAACTGAATGGTGTCGGAAATATAGAAAGTGGCCAGAAGACTATGTAATAAAGATATAAATAGCGTGAGATGAGCGGGAAGCAGTAGACAGAGAATATAGTTGTTTGAAGTTAAGTACCACAAAGGTGACAGGCCTAATGTTTAATATGAGTGAAATTAACAGTATAAAAAAAGATACGAAGGATAAGCGTGGTTCTAAACTAATTGAATCAGCCTGGGCAAACTTTGATAAAAGGAACAGAGGATCTTTAGAAGAAAGAAGACCAAACGAATTACAGTAACTTGCGCCACAACTGTAAGTGAATCACACACAGAATACTAGTATGATAGTAATATAGAGAAGATAGCTTGACATGTCAACTAAAATTCTAAAGTAATTGAATAGGCCTAAGTGGACTTTGACAAGAAGAAGAGAACTATATAAAAATAGTGTTTATGATATGCCTGTAATCTTTATAGTGTGAAGACTTTGTTATACACACGTTTAACTTGATCCAAATATATATTATTTGAAAACAAGTAAAGTGTGTGCTGTT